ATATGTGCCCCTTGCATATAGTAGTTTTAGTGAAAACCGCATCTCAGTATCTGCAACGGTTCAGGAGAGAATTGAATCATTTATTGTACACACTGGCGATATCTACGACCAGCAAACAATCTCTAAAGCGTTAATAACTCTCATGGCGTGTTCAACTTCGGCGATAGCCAATGTTTCTTCGAAATTAAAGTTAAAGCCCACGATCCGCGGCGTCAGTGTTACTTTTCTCACTAAATGGTAAAAATGATCTCAGTCGTTGACGCACACTTTCCGCCACTGAAATCACTCAAACGCGCGTCGGAGTGTAAGAACATCACGCGTCTTCATATAGGTACCTGGAGTTGACAGCACGCATTTACATAATAGGAAAAAATGCAAACTTTTATAAAAACACGTATATTCATAAAAATGTGTAATAAAATTGAAAAAAATTCATAGATTAAAAACATATCTTGTGAAAATGCAAAATATGTAATATAGTACTGAATATGTAAAAATATGTATCGAAAAAATTGCATATTGTATTAGGCCAGCGACGATTTGCCGAGATAACAAATTTGAGACCGGTAAGTAGAAAGGCAAAAATATATATAATTACATAAAAATTCTGTTTCTAATTGTAACACAGATGTCTTCTTTTCGATGTTTTCTTCGGACTTTCTTTCCCCTGGCAGCACGAAACCATTTGCTAGTCGCAACCTTTCTCTAGTGTTGTTGCCTTTTTTATTATTTTGTACGTAGTGTTATCGATAAACTGCAATTTAAACCATGACTACATAAAACATTGATAAAATTAAGATGAAAATGAAATTTAAGACTGAATATACTTTAAACTAATATAGATGTATTATGCATCACATTAGAATCAGAACATTTTACTTGGAAATGTTTCGCCATATTTAAAACATTGATATTTTAAATATTATTAAATCGACATCCAAAACCTTTTTGGTGATGTATCCAAGTATCGATATTTTCTTAAACTTTCCCATCACTAGGCATATCACTTCCGGCCAACACCATGTACAAAACATGATGGTTGTGACGGTGGCCGAGATCGCTAAGGCAGTAGTGCCGTAGCTATCTCCGATCGAAGGATCGCGGGTTCGAGTCCCGCCTCGGGCATGGTTGTATTGTGTTCGTCCTTTACCCCCTATCATCATCATTATTGTGTCATCCTCACAGTTACCATACCGTTACCAGCAATAGTGGTAGCTAATGACCTAGTAGTTGATGCGACCTTAAATAAGAAAAAAAAAGATGTTTTCTCGGGGACGAAGGCCACGCAACACCGCCGAGCAGCGTGGAAACAATGCAGTCTCCTTCCTTATTTCATGGGAACGAATGGAATTGGGACGGGCACCATTCATTAATGTTGAGTGTGATTAAAATATGTTATTGTGCGGATCGGTTGTGATTAGTTCAATTCTGTACCCGGCCAGCGTAGTTGATTTAATTGATACACGTTATTTATTCATTATTTATGAGAAGAAAATTGGCATTATTTATGGAGAGAAACTAAGGAATATTAACCGATCAAAAATTGAAAACATAATGAATTATATGATATTACAATAAGTTATCTTCTACCTTCTTCGTTTGTACTTCTCTCCCATACGTCACCCAGTTTGTAATGTACTTTTTTTATATTGAAACATTAAAAAATAAATAATATCAAAATATCAAAATTATATATTGATTTGATATTAAAAAATATCAAATACTATATCAAAATTTCGTCAATTATCACTGTCTTCTCTCTCCTGATCACGCTGCCCGGTACCAGAACTTGTGATGCGGCGAGGGGTTGGATATATTGCCGGCTTCTGTCTTATTTCATGTGCACGTTTTCAATCACGAAAGCAGGGAAACGGAAGACTATTATGAAAAGTCAGTTACATTGTGCCGATTTTCTGTGTCTAGGTCAGTCTTTTATTCATCAAGATATACTTGAAGTTTTTGTACTCCAGCATTATAAAAGAACCTTTTCTGTTGCAAGAAATCGTCCATAATTGGGCATTTTACGGTACAAATGATGACGTATTAGATTTTATGTCACGAGTGATTGGGTCGTCACACTTTCAGCCAATCGTAGCGAGAGAATCGTGGGAAGGTTGAGCTAAACGGAACAGCCGACCACCGTTTACTCGCACGATGTCAAATACCCGAGTCGTCGCAGGGAAGTTGTTTCGCAAAATTAAGTTTGATTCTTTATAAATGTATAATACTGTTATGCAAAAAATATAGTATGCCACTCGTTTATAATGTTGCTTTATTACATTAGTACACATTTGAAAACTCGCTCCTAAAGTAGCTCGTTTTCAAAACGTGTGCTCATGCAATAAAGCTTAAAATTATAAACTAATTGCATAAACTACTATTATTGACACATGTTATTTATTACACTCTTTGTCTCGGCCATTTTCTGGTTTCACATTAAACATTTATTAATGTGGGATAATTACAAGAATTTCTGGAATGATTTTCATCGGCCGATTTCGGGTGCACGATGGAATTACAGAGTATTGTGAATCGACTTCGTGCTTTAATCAGAAGAATTTGGAGCTTGAATTTCGCCTCGAGCCTACTTGCTTGTTCCTCGATTTTCGTGGGTACTACGGTCATGTTTTGTCGACCTTACGCGAAAATAGCCAAGGATCTCATAATCTGTTCCTAGTGCACGGAAGGAGAAACTTTCATGTTGGAAGGTCGTATTTATGTCGTTGTTTCCAAGTAAGTCTGAACCCAAACCACCCAAAATCCGTAAATTATTGTCTGAAAACATCCCACCGTGAGTTAAGTATGTACTTTTTACCCTTCACATTTCGGGGGGGAGGGGGGGTCTCTTTCTACGCGCCTATTTTTGGAATCATGTTATAGTGGTAAGCGGAAGAGCGCCTTAGGCCTGGACTTCCCAAGTAATACAATAATAAAGACTATTATTATTATTATTATTATTATTATTGTTGTTGTTGTTGTTATCCACTATCGTAACTAATGAAGAAAGACATCGCGAAGGTCGTTGAACAAAAGCGAAAAACGGGGTGGCTGGAATGAGGGCATTCTGTTTCCAAGTTCATAGGAGAGTGTCGCATGCTAATTCATTAAAAAAGTATTTCGGCATCAAATGCATTGGAAATACTGTTTGGATAGGCTCAATGATGTTGCTTGCGTGTAGATCTAAGCCCAGGGCCTCATCATGAAATTGGACACGTGTAGCGAAGCGTCATTTTGCCCTAAACGTTTGAGGTAGTAAATCCGATGTCGTTCCGCTCTGGGCGCGGGTGCGTGTTGTCGTTTCAAGCTCTCGCAAAAGCGAGACGTTGTCACGTTCGTTGTGGTAAAGGAGATGAGACAGTTCTTTCTTCAGTACATTAACAATATTTTGTTTCGTGTGCGGCAGGCTCACCGCGCCGTGCTGGCGTCCGTGTCGGACTACTTCCGCGCCATGTTCACGGACGCGATGCGCGAGGCTCGCCAGTCGGAGGTGCGCCTGCGCGGGGTGTCGGCGGCCGGCATGCGCCTGCTGCTCGACTACGCCTACACCGCCCGCCTGGCGCTCAACCTCGCCAACATCCAGGACGCCCTCGCCGCCGCCGCCCACACGCAGGTGCCTGCCGTCGTGGAGGCCTGCGCCTCCTACCTACAGGTACGCCTCGCTTATTAAGGGCCTTCCATAATGACGGCATGTAATACCTAAATGAAAAAGTAAATATGACGACGTGGACGTGTATATTTAACAAAATCAGAGATTTACCATACGAAAATGTAAACATAGCCCATCGTCAAATTCGATACAATAAATACTAGGCACAGAAATTCTGTTTAAAATATGTGTTGATTAAGTAAAATGGGGGTGATACTTGGAAAAAATAATATTTAATTCATCACGATCAAAAAATATTACGCTTTCCGTATGCAATGAACCCAGTGTCCTTGTTGAATAACAATTTGTACTCTTTCAAACAGTATGCGCTTTCAGCATACTTGCAGCCCCAAATATAGTCACCACTACAATCATCACCTCCGGCCACCTCTCCTGACCCCACCTCTCCTGACCCCACCTCTCCAGACCCCACCTCTCCAGACTACGCATGCTTGGTATTGAAATCGGATTTTGAGTTATGTATTTAGCTGTTTGGTTTCCGTTTGTGGGAAAATGTTATTCAAGTTGATGGAGGCTGAGATCATTCATTTCCGACTCGGGTTAGCAACGTGTCTTTGTGTAAAGCAAGTGTAATTACTTTAAGATTATAGTGCATTCCATTAAGAGAATAGTAAGGTGGAGGACTGAAGAGACATTATTTCTAAACTGGTGCAACGTTCCGGTTGATGACAAGTCCGTTTATTTATATAATAGTCACGTGTGGAATGTCTGGCGGAAGGTCTAACGTAATAAATCGTTGTATTGTTCCTGAAGGGTGGCTTTTAGCCTTCCGATAAAGCTATAGTTTTTAATTGTGGTTATGCCTAATCTGTATTTATGGGCGGTCGTAGTTTGTTCTGAGGTCTTTCTTCGGAATTTAAGCTGTTATAGTAATAGAGAAAGAAATAATTTGTTGTGGTGTTGGGTTTGTATGATTGGTTTTGAAATATTACCAAGAAAGAGGGTGCGTATGTGTTTATATTCTGATATCATATGGTATTTGAGCTTAGTTTTGTGCTTTCGCGTCTGCGTGGAATTACATTAAGTGTATTGGTGGATGGAGGATTGTTGGTGTCTTCTATCGCAGGAGTTTATAATATGGGATTTATGGTCTGATATTGCATCCTGAAGTACCGTATAGGAATATTATGTGTCGTTCTGACCATCGAGTTGAATTGCGTTTCAAAATGTAGTCTCCGACTATACCAAATGATGGAGTTTATATAAAGTAATCTCCCGTACAAAGGTAATGTGCGATTCGATCGCTTTTCCCGACAGGACGAATTAGGGCATGTAATCCGTGGGAAGGAGTCATTGGTTAAGATGTGGTTTTACAGGAGTCGGAATGTGGAACTTGGCTAAGTTTGTTCCGATAAATGTTTTGTTAGTCACATTACTCTGGTTATACGACGTTGATGAAAACGAGTTGTAAGCGTGCTCCGCATCAAAGATGTTGGTTTCCGAAAGAGTTAGTGTGTTTCCGAACGTGATGCTCGTCCAGTAAAAGGTTAGGTGTTAGGGCACAGAAATTTCGAGAGGTTTAGAATTAGGTGTTGTTTCGCAGATTAAGGTATATGGTGTCCAGAAAGATATGGGGTGTGCGGCGATACTATGGATAGGATGATACTATGATTAAATATGGTCGGTTGGCTCGCTCGCTCTTACTAAGAATAATATTAGGCTCTTATGGCGCGGCGTGTGTGCCCTTATTTAATCAGTAAACGATAGTTCTTCGTAAGGTAGAGTTCCGACTACTCACCAGGAGCTTGTTTGCTCTTTGGTCTGCTCTCTAGACCATTTAACTAAAACAAGATTTTGTGACTCTGCTCTTCGTAACAATCAGGCTCGCGATGTTGGCGTGCTCCTCTGAAGTCAATCACTTATTATGGCGTTCGTCTTGTTGTCTTCTCGCTCAAGAAGTGCGCACGCATAATGTAGTTTCCCTCTCTTTTGGGGATACAGTGTGTGTGTTCATTCACTCTACTGGTGCCTGAGTTCAGGTGGTGCGTGTTTCTCAGATAGCTAGCAGCCCCACCTATACCAGAGCTCTCCATCTTAAATCTGTGCGCTTATTATCTCTTCTGCAGGCCGCTCTCGCCAAGGTGTACTCGCGCGAGTGCCGGTCCCCAGCATCAGGCTAGCGCGGTTCCAGATCGGTGCACCTTAGCTCAGGACATGAGCTCTCTCGAGCCTGTGCTCTGGAGAAGCCGTTTCCGTTGACCTGCGTGTTGCCCGATAAGTGGTACCTCGCCGCGGCTCGCGTCGTTGGCGGATCTGTGTCCCCATGCTAGTCAAGCTGTTTCGTCACGAGCCCTCGCTGGCCGCGACACTAATTAGCTCAGTATCCGCGCGCCCGATCCATCGTTCCCCATGGAAACACACCCGCACCGTGTCTCTGAGCTCGCCCTACCGTGCTCTCCTATTGTGTGTTCTCGGCTTTCCGAGCTTTCAAACTGATATATTGTGATTTTCGGCGGTTGCTCTTTGCATTATACTCGCTACTTCCTCGGTTTTGTAGTATCACTCAGCCACACGCTGTTCTTTTGCCGTGCTATTCCGATGAAGCCGTGAGTCGGACTATTCTAGTCCTAGGATCGTCGGAAAGGCCTTCTTGGCTAGCTGTCCCGCCTCTCCGCGTCTTTTTGTTTCCGTGTCGCCTTTATACTCGCGACCCTTTCATGTGTGCTGCATGTTCGTTCTCTCCGATACATACTCTCTCTGTAGGTGTTTCGATGCGCGTTTATTTCTGTCTTATCCTCTGATACTCTCTCCTGGAGTGTGGTCTTTCGTTGATTTCTCGGCGATTCTCACGTTTCTCGCGTTTGTTCTCGCTTCACTGTTCCTACAGCTTACCGCGGTGATTTTTTTGCGCTGGTTCCTCCTACGTCTCTGCTCCGGTCATCTGTGCTCTTTCTGTATCCGCTCTCTTGCTCTCTTGCGTCGTGTTCGGCGTCCGTGCTGTATCCCTTTTGTACTCGCCGTATCTCGCCTCTCCGCGGTCGTGACCTGTTGCGTCTCAAATATCTGCGGGACATCGGCGATGCTCTGCGGTGGGGCTGCATGTGCAGGTGCGCTCCATTCGTGCTCGTTACACAGATGCTCATTCTCGGTGCTGTCAGACTATCCGGTACGCTCATCGTACTGGGGAGCAGAGTTGCATCGTGGTGGCGTCTCATTCTTAACCGGTCTGTCTCCGCATATCTCTGTCTCTATTACTAGCAATCTCGTCGTCGCGAAATCGAGTTACACGGTAGTCCGGTACTCTAGCGTGTCATGCTACGTGACACGTCAGTGACCTCAAGGCGCGTGCGTGACTCCGTCAGTATGCGTAGTACATCGCATGTCTCGATGGCGTCTTACTAGACCATAGTATATCGCATGCTCGTGCTAAGGCTGCTCTCCATTTACCGGTCTTCCTATAGGCGGATGTAAAAGCTGTTCCTAGCAATTGCTTTATGAGGTGTTTTGCCAGGACGTCAGACGAGAGATTTCGCTCGACAGCTCTCGTGTCTTTTTGAGCTCTCATGGTCTGACCATACCGCTCGAGAGCATCGTACCCTTAGGTATCGCGCAATGTTATAAATGTTATACCGGCTTTTATAAAGTTTAAGTTAAAGGCGTTCAGCATTTGCTCATCGCTTGCTCTTTATCATCAGGACTATGTGGTCCCGGTTGTCTTCTCCGAGTTTATGTGATCGTTTTGCTTTTGTTAGTAATGTCTTATATTTGAGTATAAGGGAATGAGGAAGTTATTTTAAGGTAATGAGAAGGTTGGAATCTGCAACTCAAAAAACTCTGAAGATTTAATATTATAAATGTTTAGTGGGGGATATAGAAGTCATACATGATCCTAAGGCGGACAGAGCTTCGATCTGTGTAAAAGAGAGCAAAAGAATGCGGCAGCGCAAACCTCCGTGTGACGAGTGGGAACGTGGGATTGGGCGTGGGTGGCGTGGCGCCTCTGCGAAGCCCGCGTGGCGCGGTACTCTGCGGGTCCTGGACCTGTCCCAAGGATGGTCGCTGTCGCGCTGGTCGGGGCGGCGTTTGTGCGGCTCGCGACTAGAGGCATTGCTCAGCAAGGGCCTCCGACTCGCTCCCGTTGCCAGAGGGCCAGGCTTCCCGGTTTCTGGTACCGGGTGTTACTCCCCTTATCTCCTTCTTTTGGTGCCGGCTGCTTATCCCAACGGAGACCTCCAACTCCCAACCTCCGACTTCAACCTCACCGCTTTCTAGATGGCTCCGCTACTCCCGCACACATTCGCCAACGCCCACATACGACACCTCGCCTCGTCGTCGATGTCGGAGCGTTAGGCCCAGCCTCGTCCATATAACGGCACTGCGCCGGAACATCGCCAGGCCTCAGGGACTACCCAACCGTCCTCTCGCCACACGAAGCGCGCCGGATACTGCAGGATCTTGAGGTGTTATGTTCATGACACGTGGGGTTCGTATATTCATGAGAATACGAACCGGGAAGAATTGGTGAATAGACTTGTATAGTGGTTAATTGTGTTTGGTTCTTATTATGGCATGTGTGCGCGGAGATCCTGGGTAGAACGGTCTGCGACTACTTGTGGAGAGTACGTTGAGTACCGCGGGAGGTTGACAAGTGGTGTAGAGATATAATGGTAGTGAGACAAGTGATGATTACATTGGATGAGACGAACTGTGGGCAATGTACATCGGGGTTTGCTACGAGCTATCTTGAGTTAAATAATTTTTGATCCTTGCTGTTTCTTGGCGCTGTTGATACTGGATGGTCAGTACATATCCTGTAAGAGTCTTGGTCATAGTGTACGGAAATTAACTGATTCGTAGAGCTATCCGGAGATCCCGAGTGACGACGGAGACCTGTTCATCGTACGACGGTGAGGAGCGCTCGGAGACCAGAAATCGGTTTTCGTTGTCAGGACCGCGTGAGCATATGACGGTGCGGAGCTACCCGCGACGAGAGGCAGCTGGGAGACCGGAGAGCGAGAATGGAGAGACGGAGTATGGAAGAGACCGTAGGGGGTTCGGAGAGAAATTAGAGACAGACGGGAGGAGGGGGGGAGAATGGAAGGGAGGGGGAGAGGACGGAGAGGTGGAAGAGGCGGGGGGCATATGGAAGGAGGGGATGTTTGGCATACGGGAGAGGCGGGAGTACATGGAGGGAGCGGATGATGGAGGGGAGGTGGGGTCTGGAGGGCGGTGGCGGTCTGGAGGAGGTGGGGGGTGGTGTCTGCAATGAGGTGTAGGGGATCTGGAAGGAGGTGGGACGGGCACTGCGTCTGAAGAGCGGTGCGGCGTGCTCCGCAGTAGCCTGGACAGAGGGTAGGGGTTGGCCTCTTCGACGATTATAATGGGTAAGGATGGTCTGAGGGTCTGGAGTGAGGCGGCGGAGGTCTGGAGAAGGGTGGGCGGTTCTGGAGAGGTGGGGGTCTGGAGGAGGTGGGTCTGAGACGGTGGG